AAACAAAACAAAAAAAAAGTACTGTGATGAACAAGAATTCATTTTCCTGGGAACACTTTCTTGAGACATGCACTTGAACCTTGTGGCAAGGACCCAAGGAGATGAGGCATGGTCATGGTTAGGGTGGCCCCTCAAAACTGGAAAACAAGCAAAGGTGTTTGCTGAATAAAGTGAAAATGTGTGTTTTCATAGCAGACAATAGAAGGAATAAAAAGGCACAGTCAAGTGGGCACCCTGGAGTGGATGTATTCTGTGAGCCAGAGATTGACCAGAGGCTTCTGTTCCACAAGGGGACTCAGAGGACGCAGCATCCACTAGGGTCAGGTGGGAAGCTCTGGGCCAGGGGTGGCAGCATCACCAGGATGTGCATTGGTGCTACTTCCTTGCAGGTCTGGAATGATGATAGCAGAGGTCATCATAGAGGTAGATTTCTGGGCAGTGGCTGATGGCCTGGGCGTCTCGTCAGCAGCATGGAGGAGAAGGTCTGGGAGGCTGAGGAGATCTGTGCAGGGGGTTGTGAAGGATGTACTCTGGTGGGAAGACATAGGGCTCCTCTATTAGCACCCACCAGAAAGCACTCACTGTGGAAGAGGCACCGAATAACCAAGTGTACCAGCTGCGGTTGGCCAGTGGGCTGCTTGATGTTAGCAGCCACTAGAACTGACAGGAAGGGAGCAGGCGTGGAGGGAGCAGCAGAGATGGAGGTTTGGTTTGGGCACAATGGCAGGGACTCACCTTACTATGGGAGTTACTGCTGCCTGTCAACAACAGAGAGCAGCACGGAGTGCCCAGGATGGCGTTATTCTTGTGATAAGCCAGCCACACTGGGCCTCTTCCATCCTGAGGGGCCAGCATTTTATTGTCAAGAACGTGCATTTGCTGTTCCTCCATCCAGACCCTCAGCCAGCACTGTCACCAGTGTGGAATCCACACAGTCACACCTGAGCTGGGACCCACTTATAGTCGCAGCAGTCAGGTCTCATGATGATGGGTCACATGCCAAATACAGAAGCGGTCAGCTTCACAGAGCACTAGGATGGCCTCCGAGGGGCACAGTGGCCGCACCACCATGGAGGCTGTCATCCTTCATGCTGTGGTAGCACGTACAACAAGTCGGAGACCAAGGGAAGCTCTCCTGTGTCCCTGAGAGGAATAATGCACGGGCCTGGGGATCAAGGAGTGATGGTAGGAATGGCTCTGTGATTGTTACTCCTAGTGATACAGGAGGGGTCTCCTGATTCTAGTTCTCACAACTGGAAGAGTTGGTCCACAGCAGGAGTGTTCCTTTGTAAGAGGGCGCAACAAGGGTCCCTCCCCATGAGTGATAAGCTAAGGCTGTCACCGGGGCCCTTTGGACTCCTTGTGACTGGGGCTCAAGCGTCAGGAAAAAGGGTCATCATCCTGGTCAGCAGGGGGAGGTAGAGCTGCTTTTATACTGTGGTGGCAGAAGGAATGGGTGCAGAAGCCGGCCCAGGAATCCACTTGGAGGCCTCTTGATGCTCTCTTCACCTCAAAACAACTTTCTTCTTTAAAAAGAAATTTTTATAGGAACACACACACAGAGAGAGAGAGAGAGAGAGAGAGAGAGAAAGAGAAAGGGAGAGAGAGGTCTCATTCCCATTTGCCCATTTGCTGTTCACTCCTCAAATCCTGCAACGGCCAGAGCTGGGCTGGGAACTCAGTCCAGGCCCCCTATGTTGGTTGCTGGAATTCAACTATTGGAGCCATCACGACTGCCTCCCAGGTTCTGCATTAGTGGGAAGCGAGAGTCAGGAGCTGGAGCTGAGTATTGAACTCCGGCACCCTGATGTCCTAACTGGCATCTTAACCACCAGGCCAAAGGTGCACCTTCTCACTGCTTTGTGAGTGTGAACAGACACATGCCACAAACCCACTCTGAGGGGAATATAGTGATCAGTGTCTCAGACCCTTCAGGGATGAAGGAGTACATGAAATTGTGTGAGGAGGAGCTAAGCCCAGACTGTGGCTGAAGATGAGGGTACCTTTGAACAGAGTGGAGGAGAGAGAAACCAGATCTGGTCCCAAGACTAACTGCGGCCTTGTAAGCTATAGTTCGTAACCTCTCTCATCCAACTGTCCCCTGAGAGTGACACCTATGCCATCCATGGAAGAGCCACTTTCTGAATCTGGGTAGACTGCGGTGACCATGAAAACGCCCAGCTCAGACCTCAGGTCTCCTGTGTGGGGAATGTCCACTGACAGCCCCAAGCCGCTCCCCTTCCAGATCCTCCACCACAACCAGGTTGAAGCCAACTTCCTCTGGGCTGTTCCCAGCCTATGGCTGAGCACGGTGTGCTCCTTCTGAGAGATGTGGGCTCCTCCAGTCGGTGACTTGGACTCTGGGTGAGCCTTCCTAGAACTGGGCCACACACCAAGGCTGTCCCTGACCCGCGAGTACCTCCCTCTGCCTTGTTCTCCATAGGAGCCAGACCTACGTCTCCATCTGCAGGCCTCCTCCCCCACTCCGTTGTCCTCAGGATGGGTCCCCAGTAAATCTCTGTTTCCAATCCTGTCTTTACATCTGCTTCTCAGAGGACCCAAATGAACACAATAGACAGTCAAAAGTGACGACTTTGAACTCTGTTCTGGATTCAAAGCTCAACTCGGCCACCTGGTAGCCATACAACTTTCCATCATTCCACTTATTTTTTTCCCTCCTACATACAAAGATTTCTCACTCACCAAGTCGCGATGACTAATCAATGGGCTCACAATGAGGAGCACTTCTGAGGTGACTCCTACAGCAGGTACATAATTAGTTCCTTTGCCATCACTGTCCTCTAGCACAGCAGTGAGGGAGTAAAAGAGTGAGTGATAAAACAGTGCAAGGAAGTGAGAGAGGCAGAAGCCCCTTCTGAGAGATGCAGGCTCCTCCAGTAGGTGACTTGGACTCCGTGAGACTTCCTAGATCTGGGCCACACACCAAGGCTGTACCTGAACAGGGAGTGCCTTGGCTCACTGGGTGAGGCTCCCTTGGGTGCTTTGGTGCCAGGGTGTAAAGATGCTGGGTGCCCAGGAAGGGAAGGATGGGACACAGAAGCGAGACCAACCTTGGCCATTTTAGTTTAAGGTCAGTCCCTGCTTCTATGTAATTCTTAGTAAAGTTTGTTTTTTTTTTTTTTTTTTTTTTTTTTTTTTACAGGCAGAGTGGACAGTGAGAGAGAGAGACAGAGAGAAAGGTCTTCCTTTGCCGTTGGTTCACCCTCCAATGGCCGCCACGGCCGGCGCGCTGCGGCTGGTGCACCGCGCTGATCCGATGGCAGGAGCCAGGTACTTATCCTGGTCTCCCATGGGGTGCAGGGCCCAAGCACTTGGGCCACCTCCACTGCACTCCCTGGCCACAGCAGAGAGCTGGCCTGGAAGAGGGGCAACCGGGACAGAATCCGGCGCCCCGACCGGGACTAGAACCCGGTGTGCTGGCACCGCAAGGCGGAGGATTAACCTAGTGAGCCGCGGCACCGGCCTTAGTAAAGTTTTTACAGGAACTTAAGGCAAACAGGAAGCGGAGTAGCGCTGTCTGGGCAGCGCCGGCTGTGTATGACCCGCACTGCCCCTTCGCAGTGGCCACCTTCGTGTCAGGGCCCTTCAGTGCCTCACACAAAGGGGCTGTGCATCTGATTCATGCTCTGAGGAGCATGAATGGCTGTGACTAATAGCCATGGGATTTAATCATTGCGAACAATTTAGTCCACTTCAAATGAAGTTTTCATAAGCTCCGTGTGCATCAGAGCCTGCTTGGGAACATGTGCTGACGTTTCCTATGGCATATGCAATGACTGGCGCCCACTTGTGCTGGGGCCATAACCGGCACCACCTAGGCCCCTCTGCAGAAGTGCACGCATTGAGGATTGTTCGATGGGCTGTGGTTGGGGGCAGAGAAAGGGATTGAGTGAAATAGGGAGAACGTGGAAAGAGCTTCAGTTCTACGTCAGAAAGGGGCTTTGAGTCCCCATTCTCACTGGGCTGATATGGAGAATTTAACTAAAAGTGAGAACACACTTCAAGACGCATTGATTGGCATGCAGGTACTAAACACATACAGGAAGAGCAGCAGCACCTTTTTCATGTCTCCCTTCCTCCTTCTATGTTACCTTCCTTTTTGTCCTGCTTACCTACAGACAACATTTTGCCTCAAATGCTCTTCCAGGCACAGGTCTCATCTCACTTGCATAGAAGGGTAGGTAGTGGAGGTAGTGGTGAAAGCCAGAACAATTGGGATTCCATTATTTACTGGTGATGTGAGCAAGTGATTTCGTTTTTCTAAGCCTCAGTTTCCTTATGTGTAAAATGGGAAGCTATTTGCCTCATGCATTTGTTAGTCATGAGGATCTAGAGAGGAATATACGAAGAGCCTGGTGCGTGGGAAGAACCTGGTTTTGTTGTAATTTATTGTTTTGTTTTTCTTCCGACCTGGCAGAGAGCACAGTAGGAAGGGCACAGTATTCACTTTGCAAATACTTGAGACAGAATTGAGCTGTGTTTTTGCAACCAATTCTCAGATGGTTTTGGAAGGTGGTTATGAAACTGAAATTTCCCATCCTTCCCTTGGCAGAAGCATTCTTTGGAAAATGTAGTTTGGTAGGTCTGAAGTAGGGCGTTTAATATGCGTCTGATAGTCACACCACTTGGGAAGACTGTTGTAAACTTGAATGATGCTTAAAACCCTCCATGATCATGCAAGAGTATCTACTTCATGAAAAGATGATCTTATACTGGCCTCTCAATGATTGACACTTTGCTGCCCAATTGATATGGGCAATCACTGGGTGCAGTGGACAGTCACGCCACATCTAGCTAGAGTTGGGTCAAGCAGCTGTCCTGAGTACTGTGTCTCTAAGTGGACTCCAGACACCTCTTATTAATTGAGCACAACTCCAAAGTTTCAGTTTATTTCAAAGTCCTGTAACGTGGTAATTAGAAGCATAGTTACACCTAATGCCCTCGATGGAGATCCAGGGTTTTCTCACAACAGGCAGGCGGCCTAAGCACATCATTACAACCACTTGGCTGTGACAATTGCTAATCTGAGAGTGCTCTAAGGAGAGAATATGGGATGAGGGCTCGGAAAAGCTAAAGCACTGTCAGGTATTGTTATCAGGAAAGAGATTTTCTCTCTCTCCTTTTTACAGAACAAAAATAATACTAAAGAAAAAAGCTTTATTTTGGCTCACAAGGTTTTGCCTTTTTAGGACTTTGGGGTTGAATGAAAGGAGGCTCTTGCGCTGGCACTGGGTTCCTTCTCATTCACCAGTCGACAGTGAAATGCTTTTAATGAGGCACAGCTGGGCTGAGGCCGAGCTCGAAGGAGATCACAGGCCACCGGGGGAGGAAAGGGAGTGCTCATCCCAGGAGCCGCTTCCATTCTGCAAGGACAAGGAGATTTCCAAGGGGAAGCATTTGCAGTTTTAACAACAGTTTAAAATTAAAGTCCAATGTTCTTAAAAAAAAAAAAAAAACGAAAGAAAACAAAACATGTATTCATTGATTTGGAAGGCAGAGTTACAGAGAGAGAGAAGGAGAGAAAGAGAGAGGTCTTCTACCCACTGGTTCACTCCTCAAATGGCTGTAACAGCCAGGACTTGGCTAGGCTGAAGCCAGGAGCCAGGAGCCAGGAGCTTCTTTCAGATCTCCCACATGGGTGCTGGAGCCTAATTACTTGGGTCATCTTCTGTTGCTTTTCCAGGTGCATTAGCAGGGAGCTGGATCAGAAGTGGAGTAGCTGGGACTTAAACTGCTGCCCGTATGGGATGCTGGCACTGCAGGCCATGGGTTTAACCCGCTATGCCACAGCACCAGCCCCTGAAGCCCTCTCTTTTGGAACAGCAAATGAAATACTTTATTTTTAGAGATATCCAATATATCTTAATAGTCACATAGATTCAAAATAAATGGACCAAAAATACACTATTTTACAGGATGTAACATAAGCAAAGTAATCCCAGACAAGCAAGTGGTACTGGGCCAGGGCTGTGGCATAGCAGTTAAAGCCTCAACCTGCAGTGCTGGCATCCCATATGGGAGCCAGTTTGAGTCCCGACTGCTCCACTTCTGATCCAGCTCTCTGCTCTGGCCTAGGAAAGCAACCGAAGATGGCCCAAGTCCTTGAGCTCCTGCACCCACCTGGGAGACCTGGAAGAAACTCCAGGCTCCTGGGTTTGGATTGGCCTAGCTCCAGCCATTGCAGCCATCTGGGGAGTGAACCAATGGATGGAAGACCTTTCTCTCTGTCTCTCCCTCTTACTGTCTATGACTCTACCTCTCAAATAACTAAATAAAATCTTTAAAAAAAAAAAAGAAAAGAAATATTGGTGGCATTCTTCAGGTGGTTGTCCACACGAGATTTTGTTATTCCTGGAAGGCCTTGCTTGTGCTGGGAAAAATCATCCGTGAGTGGAGGTAGTCTGCAGGCTGAGGCATGACGTCACGGGGCCTCAAGCTGGGAGCGATTTCTGTGACCTGTGGCTTCCAGGCTGATATGACAGGGAGACTTCGTGAGAACACTTAGCTGACTGTCCAGATCGCCGCGTTTTACGGCACCATTCATGTAATAAAAATAGATTTTTCTGTGATGTAAGAAAAAAAGACTTGAAAAGTGTTATGATAGAAGTAGAGAAAAAGGGGCCGGCACTGTAGTGTAGCAGGTTAAGCCACTGCCTATAGTGCCAGCATCTCATATGGGCACCGGTTCAAGTTCCAGCTGCTCCACTTCGAATCCAGATCCCTGTTGATGTGCCTGGGAAAGCAGCAGAAGACGGCTCAATTGCTTGAGCCTCTTCACCCACGTGGGAGACCTGGAAAAGCTCCTGGCTCCTGGTTTCGGATTGGCCAATTGGAGAGTGAATCAGCAGATGGAAGATCAGTATCTCTCTCTCTCTTTCTCTCTCTCTCTCTCTCCTGCCCCCCTCCCTCTGACCTTTCAAATAAAAGCCAGAGACAATTACAGCTCTTAACTAGAAAATAGGAGTCTGGGGTAAATCAAGCAGTGGAATGCAAAATTCAGCAGTGATCTGATTCTATGAATATAAGCAATTCACCATATACTCTCCCCATAAAGAGAAAAAAAAATACACTTTGTGAAACAGTTTTAGCTGGTGTCTCAACTATTATGAAAATTGCTCATCAAGTGAGTGATAAAATGTTAGTGGAAATTGAAGACAATTTGTGGCATAATGATATGCACAAGAACTCTATGCCTATACAGGAAAAAACTACTTTGGGTGAAATTTAGAAATTTCCATAACTAAGAACTTGATTATTTGTGAAAAATGAGATACTTATATTTCAAATGTATCAGCTACCAGAAGAAATTTATATGTCTCTCTGTTTCTCTTTTTCATCTATCCATCATCATCTATCATCTATCTTCTAGGTATACATGTATATATATATGTATCTGTCATTTATGTATCAATGTATCTATGTACTTATTATCTATGTAATTGTCTATATTTCTATCAACCATCTGTTATTTATCTCCATCTCGTTTGATTGACACATAGGGAGAAAGAGCAAATATCATAGTTGAACATACGTATCTATCATGTATCCATACATCCATTCTTTCAAAAAAAATCCAAGAGTCCTATGTATCAGGCATTGTGCTGGGAAGAGAGATACAGACCTTAGGATACAGATCAGTAATGGAGGAGGCTTAACCCTTATCATCACAGAAGAACACTTACTATGGGATAAGGACAGACCTGGTACAGAAATGGGATCAACCCAATTCTTGCTGTTTACCTCTTCTTATCTACTTTCCACTCACTCTGCTTTCTCCCATAAGTAACATGACTGGTAGGCAAATCCAATCAACCTTAGTTATCCCTTGATTTTTTTTTTCACAAATGTTTTTCAAGTGATCCTCAATGAACTGGCCCTACAAATTACACACACAAAGCAGCTTGTCAACAGGTATAGAGATTATACAGAAATGAAAGCATTAGCTCTCACCTTGGTTTTCTGTGCTTTCCTATGAGTTTTTGGTGGCTGGAGACCAAGTACCAAGGCACTTTCTTGTTGCTGAATGTGTTTTCCACATAGATTAGAGCATATCCTGAGTGCTGGTGGCTGATTTCAGAAGGCAGATCCTGAAAGTGGGCCTAGATTTCTATCTTCCATGGCCTCATCACAAACCCATCTCCTCACCTTAGTCTACTCATTAGTTCCTTTTCCCATGCTAAGAGCAAGTAGCAAACACATTATGGCACAACTCTTAGGGCTTTTTCTTATGTTCATGCATTTCTTGCTTACAGCTGACTTAGGAGGTGCATGCTCTTATTAGCCTCATTTTTCAGATGAGTAAAAGGGGCCCAAAGGGTGTTCAAAATTAGAGGGTGGACATAGGGCTCAGCAGTTATGAATGCCCCTCAGGACACCTGCATTTCGTATAGTAGTGTCTGGGTGAGTTCTGACTGCTCTCAATTCTAGCTTCCAACTATTGTACTCCCTGGGAAGCAATAAGTATTGGCTCAGGTACTTAGGTCTCTGCCATGCATGTGGAAACCCAGTGAGTTCTGGGCTCCTGGCTTTAGCTGAGACCAACCCTGGATTGTTGCAAACATTTGGAGAAGGACGCATCTCTCTATCTCTCTTTCTCACTTCTGTCTCTCTAGCTTTCAAATAAAAATAAATAAAGTTAATATGTCAATGCTGAAAATATTTTTTTTTCTCAAAATCACATAGCTAGCAAACTGCAGAGCCTGAATTCAAACCACAAGATCTGGAGCCTAAGTCTGCGTCAATCACAAACTACCCTGCCTGTCACACCAAAGGTAAGCAGATAGAGGCAATGTTCCTCCTTTCTCAAATTCTCACTCAATGTTGCACATGAAAAGAGACTCTTCTATTGGCTGTCCATCTCCATCTCATTTGATTGACACATAGGGAGAAGGGGCAAATATCATCAAGTGCTTTAGAGCACATCTCACTGGGATCCAGGAGAATTCTGAAAACTCTTTCCAAGTAGACTCTGATTGTGATCCTGGCTCCATGTCCATTAGATGCCATAAAGATAACATGGGTAATAAAAGTTCCTCAAAAGAAGACACTTAAAAGTTTTGCTAGAAATGTGAGGGTACTTGAAAAAAGTTCATGGAAAGTGAATTAAAGGAGACGTTTATTTGGTGCAAAGAAGTTTTTAAGTCCATGTGTAGTTTTTTCACAATATGCATTTTACAGTAATTTTTTAAGAAAACTTTTATTTTATTTTTATTTTTGACAGGCAGAGTTAGACAGCGAGAGAGAGATATACAGAGAGAAAGGTCTTCCTTTTTCTGTTGGTTCACCCCAAATGTCCGCCACGGCCAGCGCGCTGCACTGATCCGAAGCCAGGAGCCAGGTGCTTCCTCCTGGTCTCCCATGCGGGTGCAGGGCCCAAGCACTTGAACCATCCTCTGCTGCCCTCCTGGGCCACAGCAGAGAGCTGGACTGGAAGAGGAGCAACTGGGACAGAATCCGGCACCCCGACCTGGACTAGAACTTAGGGTGCCGGCGCTGCAGGCGGAGGATTAGCCAAGTGAGCTGCGGCGCCGGCCAAGAAAACTTTTATTTGATAAATATAAATTTTGAAAGTACAACTTTTGGATTATAGCAGTCCCCCCCCCCCCCCATAACCACCCTCCCATCCTCAAACCATCCCATCTCCTACTCCCTCTCCCATCCCATTCATCATTAAGATTCATTTTTAATTATCTTTATAGGCCGGCGCCGCGGCTCAATAGGCTAATCCTCCACCTAGTGGCACTGGTACACTGGGTTCTAGTCCCGGTCGGGGCGCTGGGTTCTGTCCCGGTTGCCCCTCTTCCAGGCCAGCTCTCTGCTGTGGCCTGGGAAGGCAGTGGAGGATGGCCCAAGTGCTTGGGCCCTGCACCCCATGGGAGACCAGGAGAAGCACCTGGCTCCTGCCTTCGGATCAGTGTGGTACGCCGGCTGCAGCGCGCCAGCCTTGGCGGCCATTGGAGGGTGAACCAACGGCAAAAGGAAGACCTTTCTCTCTGTCTCTCTCTCTCACTGTCCACTCTGCCTGTCAAAAAAAATTATCTTTATATACAGGAGATCAACTTAGTATATACTAAGTAAAGATTTCAACAGATTGCACCCATACTGAAACACAAAGTATAAAGTACTGTTTGAGTAGTAGTTTTGCTGTTAATTTGCATAGTGCAACACATTAAGGACAGAGATCCTACATGAGAAGTGCACAGTGACTCCTGTTGTTGATTTAACAATTGACACTCTTATTTATGATGTCAGTAATCACCCGAGGCTCTTGTCATGAGCTGCCAAGGCTATGGAAGCCTCTTGAGTTCACAAACTCCGACCTTATTTAGACAAGGCCATAGTCAAAGTGGAAGTTCTCTCCTCCCTTCGGAGAAAGGTACCTCCTTCTTTGATGGGCCATTCTTTCTGCTGGGGTCTCACTCACAGAGAGCTTTCATTTAGGTCATTTTTTGCCACAGTGTCTTGGTTTTCCATGCCTGAGAAACTCTCATGGGCTTTTTTAGCCAGATCCAAATGCCTTAAGGGTTGATTCTGAGGCCAGATTACTGCTTAAGGCATTTGCCATTCTATGAGTCTACTATGTATCCTGCTGCCCATGTTGGATTGTTCTCTCCTTTTTAATTCTATCAATTATTATTAGCAGACACTGGTCTTATTTATGTGATCCCTTTGACACTTAATCCTATATTTATGATCAATTACGAACTGAAACTGATCACTCTAACTAGTAGGATGGCATTGGTACATGCCACCTTGGTGGGATTGATTTGGAATCCCATGGCACGTTTCTAGTTTTACCATTAGGGGTAAGTCTGAGTGAGCATGTGCTGAACTGTTTTACAGTAATTTTACAAAAATTTGCATTTATTTTCTTTGGAAAGATAATAAAAGTACAATAACAAATAGTGGTTATATAAGCACTTGCTAAAATGTATGCAAGTAATTAAAAGATATGTTAGTTATTCCATAAATTATATTCTTGTTCCATTAACCTTTTGAAGACTTCTCATATGTCTCCCCCACACTATAACTATATAACAGTGGGTCATGAATTACTGCCTGCTGAACAGAAGCAATGAAAGCCAGTTGGCTTTTAGGGGGTTTGGTGTCTCCATTCCTCACAGATGAGTCCTGTGTAGCTCTGAATGGGATGCAGGGGCTGGGAAATGGTGAACAGTGCCGGTTCACTCCTTCCCTCACTGAACATCCTGAAGTGCTTTTTACTCTGCTTTAAGATTTCCCTTCCCTTCCCATCCCTCTTCCCTTCCCTCCCCTTCCCTCCCCTTCCCTTCCCTTCCCTTCCCTTCCCTTCCCTTCCCTTCCCTTCCCTTCCCTTTAGTTTGACAGAGAGAGAGAGAGGAGAGAGAGAGAGAGAGAGAGAGAATGGGAGGGCGAAAAAGAGAGATCTTCTATCTGCTGGTTCATTCCCCAAATGGCCACAATGGCTGGAGTTGTGCCTATCCTAAGCCAAGAGCCAGGAGCTTCTTCCAGGTCTCCCATGTGAGTGCAGAAGTCCATGGACTTGGGCCATCTTCCACTGCTTTCCCAGGTCATAGCAGAGATCTGGATTGGAAATGAAGAAACCAGGACTCAAACCAGTGCCCATTTGAGATGCCAGCACTGCAGGCAGTGGCTTTACCTGCTATGCCACAGCACCGGCCCCTATAACTCTGCCTCTTCAATATTTAAAAAGAACCCATGAATATCCACATTCAGGACAGATACTACTAAAAAATATGATTTGCTTCGTATCTTTACCAAAAATGTGCATCAGGATGTTTAGAGTAGCACCTTCTGAAACAGCCTGCAGCTGGAAGCTGCCGAGGTGCCCAGCCCCAGCAGCACGGGCATCTGTGGTGTTGATGGTGGGCACTGGAGAGTGCAGAGCAAGGCCTGTAGCTCCACGCAATGCTTCGGATGAATCTCAGAAATAACCTGGAGGGAAAGAATATACACACAAGAGAACATACTGTGTGATTTGTTATTTAAAGCACAAAGGCCAGATAACAGTCACTCTTCAGGGAAGGGTGACTGGAAGAGATAAGCGGAAGGGGTTGCTGGTGACTTCTTGTTTCTGGGTCCAGGTGCTGGCTGCGTGGGGGGTGCAGGTTGAATGTGCCATCTTACACCATGTGCACTTTTCTTTATGTCTGTTCTGCTTCGGTGAAAATTTTTAAAACAAGGGATTTACTGTTTAAAAAAAAGATTTATTTATTTGAAAGTCAGAGCTACACACAGAGTGTTAGAGAGAGAGAGATCTTCTGTCTGCTGGTTCATTCCCCAGATGGATTCAAAGACCAGCGCTGAGACAGGGTAAAGCCTAGAGCAAGGAGCTTCATCTGGATCTCCCACATGGCTGCAGGGGCCCAAACACTTGGGCCATCTCCTGCTGCTTTTCCCAGGCCATTAGCATCAGGAAGCTGACTCAGAAGTGGAGCAGCTGGGACAGGAACTCGTGCTCATGTGGGATGCCGGCATCCCACGTGGTAGCTTGACCCACTATGCCACAAGGCAGGCCCCAAAATAAAAGATTTATCCTCAGATAACCACAAGGCTATGACGAAAGAGTGTATATTTATTTTTTTGACAGGCAGAGTTAGACAGTGAGAGAGAGAGACAGAGACAGAGATAAAGGTCTTCCTTTTTCCTTTGGTTCACCCCAAAGTGGCCACCACGGCCGGCGCGCTGCGCCAAACCGAAGCCAGGAGCCAGGTGCTTCCTCCTGGTCTCCCACGTGGTTGCAGGGCCCAAGCACTTGGGCCATCCTCCACTGCCCCCCTGGGCCACAGCAGAGAGCTGGCCTGGAAGAGGAGCAACCGGGACAGAATCTGGTGCCCCAACCAGGACTAGAACCCCGGGGTGCGGTGGAGGATTAGCCTAGTGAGCTGCGACGCCGGCCAAGAGTGTATATTTAGAGAATACACATTAAGAACTTCTTGTTGAGACTTAACAGTGCTCCTACCCGAATGGGTACCATCACCTAAATCTCCAAAAGTCATTCAACTCCGGCCTTGCTTAAAGGAAGAAAAAGGAATAAAGGGGCCTTTGGAAGCAGAATTCAGCTCGGGACCTGAGACTGCAGAACGGGAGAGCCATTGGCTACATCAGCTGGGGCAGAAGGAGGACGAGGAGGACAGCATGTTGATGCCTACGAGAAGGGTGGATTCTGATGGACTCCTCCACCCCCTCACCTCCCCTTCAGATCCAGCTCTTTTTTTTTTTATTTAATAAGCATAAATTTCCAAAGTACAGCTTATGGATTACAATAGCTTCCTCCCCCCACCCCGTAACTTCCCTCCCACCCACAACGCTCCCCTCTCCCACTCCCACTCCCCTTCCCCTTCACATCACGATTAATTTTCAATTATCTTTATATACAGAAGATCAATTTAGCATATGTTAAGTAAAGATTTCCACATTTTGCTCCCACACAGAAACACAAAGTATAAAATACTATTTGAGTACTAGTTATAGCATTAATTAAACACCTAAGAGTAATTGTGTATTAATTACAGAGTTCAACCAATAGTTTTAAGTAGAATATAAAATGCATCTTTTGTATTGTTGTGGCTTCCTCCCTGACCTCCCTCCCTCCCGTGGCCCTCCCCTCACCCACTCCCTCTCCCATCCCGCCCTTCATCACGTTTCATTTTCAATTACCTTCATATACTGAAGATCAACTTAGTATATACTAAGCAGGGATTTCAACAGGTTGCACTCACACAACCGAACCAGGTATAGGGTATTGTTCGACTAGTAGTGTTGTTTTTGAGTTTCATAGTTAAACATATTAAGGACAGAGATCCTGCATGGGGAACATGAACCCAGTGACTCCTGTTGTTGATTTAACAATTGGCACTCTTATTTATGATGTCAGCAATCACCTGAGACTCTTGCTATGAGCTGTCTAGGCTATGGAAGCCCCTTGAGTTCACCAACTCTGAATTTGTTTAGTCAAGGCCGTATCACAGTGGAGGTTCCTTCCTCCCTTCAGAGAAAGGTGCCTCTCTCCTTGATGGCCTGATCCTTCTGCTGAGGTGTTGTTCACCAGGATCCTTCATTTAGATTGTTTTTTGCCACCGTGTCATGGCTTTCCATGCCTGTGAGACTCTCATGTACCTTCTAGTCAGATCCGAATGTCCCAAGGGTTGATTCTGAGGCAGGAGTGCTGTTTTGGGCATTTGCCATTCTATGAGTCTGCTGTGTGTCCTGCTTCCCCCGCAGCAGATCCAGCTCTTTATGGTTGTGATCTTCTAGGATTCCAGAGGTTTTGTTCCACCTTCCATTTCTCATCTCCCTATCCCCCAAGATAATCACATGGAATTCTGTGGAAAATTTTCTCATGTTGATGCCCTTGTTTTATTTCTTCCAAGGAGGCTAACAGCCATCTGTCTTGTGATCCCTGGTCTTTCTGTGACAAATCATGCTTAGCAAGTGTCCTTGAGACCCTTTTGCTCAAGGGCCTTAGAGTGCTTGGGGTGAGGACCAAACCTCGCAGGCCCTGCAACAGAGGTGCAGGTGAGGATGCATACGGAGTATGATGCGTTTCCCGTGCCATGGCGGGCATGGGGCAGAGGAGTGGGGTTCGTTGGTTAGTTTGCTAACATCACAGCATCTACTTTGGAGGACACTGCCTTGCTTGTACTGATGCAAAGCAGGGAAACTGCAGTCGTAAACCCAGGCTTTCTTGGGGCAGCCCTGGAAATGCGCTCTCAGCACCATGCATACATCACGGAGCAGAGTGTTGCCTTTTGGTCTGAGCAGTGCTCGCTTCTCTTGTTCTGGTGAAGTGAGCAGCACAGTTAATTCCGGCCCTGGGGCCTTCTGCAAACCTCCCCAGCCCTACTCCGTTCCTCAGCTGTCGCTCCTGTGTTTCCAGAGAGCAGCCTTTTCATTTGATATAAACTGTGGGGTACTGTCACAGCAAGCAGACTGGTTACTAACAAGGAAACTGGCACTGACAGCTTCTTAGGTGCTGATGGGAGAGAAGAGATGCCTTCACATCAGAGTGGTTCAGCTCACAATATGACATGTCCCCTGGTAGAAATTTAGAGGGAAATTTAATTGTCAGGCTCTGGTGCATAGTGTCAGAGCCACTTAGATTATGAGAAATACAGCTTTTCAACAGCTTAAAGGCCACAACTCTCATCTTTTCTTCTGGCATTGGCTACTCAGTCAGAATCTAGAAACCCCAGTGTATAAATAATTCCATCAAACACTTAGCAGAAGAAATAAGAAGGGTTTGGCTGTAGTGTTAACTATGCAATATTCCCTGGTAGTCATATGATCCTATAAGCTAGACTCACTCTTGTTAGATTTGTAGAAACATAAGAAATACTTAGAATTAGAAAAGTCCAGAGAGACAGTCCTGGTCCAGGCAAAGATAATTGAGGTCCATGCCCTCATTAAATAATATTTTTAAATTAAACAACAGCAACAACAATAACAACAAACAATTTGGGGCACACAGAGACTAAGCAATTTGCCTACAGCGTTCCATCACTGGTAGAGCTGGCACTCAGTCTTCAGCTCTCAGCCCACTAGGGACCCTATTCACTGTACCAGTCTGATGACCCAATTCCTATAAAATCTTTGAGAGTTGCAATGACTTCTTGCCTGAAGGGTACATGTCTCTAGGACAAGGACAATTTGGGGGAATGAAATACAGTGAGCCTGAAACTTTTTGTCCCATGCCCTCCTGTCTTCATGAATGCAGGACGGTGAACTATTTCCAGCACCCACTGTGGGACAGAGATGTGAATGCCGAGGGCTTCTCCAGAGCCTGTTTCAATCACAAGTCGGCTGTGCCCATCCCTTCTTGGTGTAAAGGGCCCCGGGGCATCAGGGAGCCTCTGTCCACGGAGGCTGCTCTGACTTAAGTCCAGGCATTCAGTTCTTCATGGGATTCCCCAAGCCTCCCCCAAGTTGGCATCATGATTCCCAATAGAGAGTCAAAACATCCACCTTTCTCCCTGGAGTTCTTCTGACACTAGAAGACCCAGGGAGGAGGCAAACTTTTCAGACTTTCAGCTGGAGTTTATGGCTAGCAGACATTAGGGGACTATAGTATCTACCTGGGTTAAATTCTTTTCCCGTGGCACTGTTTATCCTCAGAAAACATCTACAGTGAGTCTAAGAGAAGTTTCTTGGATCAACTGAACTGTAGAAATTCGTAGTTTTGCTGGGCAGGGTTATAGGTAACAGTGGTGGGGGTCGCAGGCAACAGACACCTTGCAGGTCCTGGCACACTTCAGTGAACTGGCAGTTCTGGGCTTCCAAGCCCACTCTCGTGACCAGTGCAGCTGTCAGAAGAGAGGCCAATCCTGGGAATCCTGTGGATGCTGTAGCGTGATATGAGATCTCAGACATACAAGCTTTTCTTTTTTTAAGATTTATTATTGATTTATTTGAAAGGCAGAGTTAGAAAGAGAGAGAGCATGATGTTCCATTTGCTGGTTCATTCCCCAAATGACTGCAGTGGCCATAGTTGGGCCGGTTGGAAGCCAGGAGCTTCTTCTGGGTCTCCCACATGGGTGCAGGGGTCCAAGCACTTGGGCCATCTTCTGCTGCTTTCCCAGGCCATTACGCGGGAGCCAGATCAGAGTGGAACAGCCCGCACCACAGGCTTTACCTGCTATGCCACAGCGCCAGCCCCCGTACAAGCTTTTCTATTTGCTTATACAGGTTCTTAGTGTCTGTCTCCCATTCTCTATTGAATAATTGCCTTTTCAACATTTCCTGGAGACTCTTGGGTAAAACAACTGGTAAATGAGCTTTTATCAAGCTCCCCTTCTGTGCCAAGCAGTTACATGTATGTTGTCTCAGTTTCACTCAAAATACTGCTGTGTGTTAGGTTTCTTTTTTTACGGATTCTGAAAGTGTAGCTCAGAGAAATTAGGTGAATTGCTCAAAATAGACAGCAGTTACAGAGCTGTGACCCGGCCCTAAGTCATCTCAATTAGAGTTCTGTGTAGTTTCCATTCAATCTGCCTACACTGGTAGAACAACTTCAACCACTGAAAGAACTGAATAAGAAAAAAACATTTGCTTATCATTTTGCCAAAAAGAGACCACCAAACCCAAAATCTTTGGTTTGGTCCACATTCTAATTTAATAAGTAAACAATGGTGATTTGATATAATGCATGATCGAATCAGTGCCATTGATTGATTGTCTACCTAGAAAGGCATTACACATCATCTTGACAACAGATTTATCTTCTTGGTTTGGGCCAAGCTAATTTAGAAATTTTTTTTCCGCTGGGCGGCTAACATTTTAAAGGAGAATCTGGCCGGTAGGCAGAAGTCACCTGGGATGGGTGTGAGTCATAACCGTGAGGATCTCGGTGTAGGTGATGGCAACCAAGCATCGCAGCAGTGACTGAAACTGTAAGTGGAAAAGGCAAGAAACACACATCAGCCACCCAGCAGAACAATTAGGTTCCTCAGGACTCCAGCGGTCCTAAATCTAGGACCCATCACAGCTAAGAGGACAATCTTTGGAGTCTCAGAATGTTGGTTCAAGACTAGACTGCTTTTCATGTACAAATTATAATCATTTGGGGAGTGAGTTAGACCTGGACTAAACTTCAATTTCCTTCTCTGGGTGTGTGTGTGTGTGTGTGTGTGTGTGTGTGGTAAGTATACTGATCCCTTCCTCGTGGGAGTGTAGGGAGGCATAAATGCCCTCCAACACCAGGGGGCACCTGTTGTAGTTACTAAATATGATATATGCTGCTAAGAAATACAATAACACAGCTTTATAACACTATCACTCAATAAATTAAATGTATTTCAGGCAAGCTAAGAAATTTCCTGGGTCAAACATCTAATGAGAGCTTAGATGGCTTGAACTTTCCAGTTCATTCCAACCCTGAGGGTCTGTGATTTTATAAGACCTTTTAGAGGTTAGTGCTAATTCTAAGCAACATCATGGTGTCATGTTATTCTCAACTAGATGGCATTAATGAGTAGATAAGTGAAACGTAACTGAGAAAGAAGACCATAAATGGAACACATACATTCATCTGCACTCCTGTCCAAACTTCAGAGTAAAGGAATTTAAAACACATGGATCTAGAAGACACAAGAAAGGGAGAGGTGCTGTGAGAGATGCATAAAATGTTGGGAGCTGGAAAGCAAACGGAAGAGTGGCAGTGTGCTTAGCAGACCAGGGCCATGGTTCCCAGTGGAAGCTGCAAGTCTGTGCCTGCAGAAGGGAAAAGCCATTAAGGAGGCATGAAAGAAAAGCAAGCCAGTTTTGAGGTGGAACGCTGGAGAGCCAGCTCAGCCTGGGAAACAGATACCTGGGTCAGGACACTGTCATGGAGATTTCTGCTTTAGCCGTTCCAAGGTATACTGCTTTTCCCTTAAAAGGCTCTACTCATTCATTTGATTTCTTCTGCCCAATGAACTTCTATTTGATCTTCAAAACCCAGAACTATTGTTGTTCCTTGAAAAGCTGAAATACTGAAGTGTTTTTTAGCCTCTGCAGTGTGTGAATGTGTGTGTTGGGGACGGGGGAGTTGTAGGAACAGTGCCTCTTTCCCTTAATGATATTTGACAGATTCATAAGAGTTACAGCTGTAAGAGGCAATGCATTTGCTAATCCTCTAGATTTAACTATTCCACAATGTGTGTCTACTTCAAAATATCATGCTGTGCATGATAAAAACATACCATTTTCTAGATTAAATTTTAATAAGTAACTAAATTTGAAAAAGAGATATTGAGCTGTCTGAGCCCCATTCCCCAACCTTTATTATAGAATAACTACTCACTTACATATTTTCCCAAGAATTCAGAGAGTGTTCACAGGCCCCTAGCTACTCTCTAGTTATCATGCGCGCCTTCTTGCTCTGGCCTGCTGCTCCCAGTTTCTTTCTGGTCTCTGCAGGCCATCTGATGAAGAATGGTCTGGTGTGCTCATGGGCTTTGTCACGTTACCCCAGAGCATGGTGACAGTACCTTCTCTTTTTTCTCCAGTGCTTGCTAATATAGCAACAAGAAGTGATGAAATTTAACAAATTCTACCACGGAGAAAAGGAAAAGCTAAGCCACACTACTGTGCATGGCTATTCCTAGGTTCTGTTATCATGTCCCTTTTAAAGGTTGTCCTTTGCAGGTTCTCTTTCTACATTGGCTCCAGCCTCCTGCCACTAGAACAAAGGTCTGCTCCACTCTATGCAAGGAAGTCTCCTTCATCTCGTTCTTCCCAAACCTATAGGAAAATAAGGAAAAACCTATTGCCAACATAATGGACAATATAGCAGTGGGCAGTGTAATTGATGCACCTTGCCCAATCTGTCAGTGTTAGAGTAATGGACACTCTCCATGTGAAGTGTCTCCAGTTGGAATGCTCCTTCTATTCAGTGCATCTGCAAGGCAATGAGTAGGGATTTCTATTTACGCACGGCTGAGAAAAGACTCACTGAAACCAACTGCCAAGAATAAATTGTGGAGGACCCATTTCCAAGGATATATTCTAAATTCTACCCAAGGAGCAGATGCTTCTAACAGATCTCTAAAATAAGCTGTTTTTTTTTTTTTTGTCATCTCTAGATATATCAAGAATCAGATACAGTCTCTGAGCAACAAGAAATTGTTGGGATCCATCTCTAAAATATCACTTGGATTCCCATTTCAGTTCCTTTCTGGCTTTCCTAGACAGTATTTATTGCTTCCTTATTGGTGTTCTCATTCTTGTATATTTGTACAAACATTGATGATATCAAACTGGTATTTCATAATGAGGTTGTCTATTCTGGTAGGCTGTGAACCATGTGAGGGCAAACAGTATCTTCTGCATTCCTGGCACATAGTAGGTGCTCAGTTATGGTGCGGCTGAATTCATTCAGCTGTGGTAAAAAACAAACAAAAATTTAAAAAAAATGTGCTCAGTAATGCTGCTGCTGAACTCATTCAGTTGTGGTAAAAAACAAACAAAAAAAGAAACAAAAAAAAAAGCAAAAATAAAATGTTTTCTCCTCAGTCATGATCCGTCTTCTAGGATCCATTCCAATATACGTCCAACTCAAAATTGTGATTTAAAAGATAGGCAGAGGGACAGGCATTTGTCTTAGCAGGTAAGACACTGGCATCTCAGAGCAGAGTACCTGGGTTTGAGTCCCCGCTCCAACTCCAGCTTCCTGCTAAAGCACATGCTGGGAGGGAGTGGCTGATGGCTCAAGTAGCTGGGTCGGTGCTATCTCTAGGAGAGACCTGGATTGAATGCCTTGCTCCTGGCTTCAGTTTGGCCTAGACCTGGTCAGTGTGGGCATTTAGGATGTGACCCAGCAGATGGGAACTGTCTGTCTCAGTTTCTCTCCACCTCTTTTCCTCTCTTTCTTTCAAATGTTTATTTTAAAGGTAGAACATGGATTGAACTGAATATTTTGCAAAAATGCCTTTTCCTTAAGGGTAGAAACACAATCAACCACCTTCCCCAGCTAGCTATTTTGTCTCACATTTTAAAACAATGAAATAATTAGTGTTGTGATCAGAGAGTTCCCTCAGAAAATAAAAACCCAACTCTGCCGGTGCAGCCATCAGCCAGGAGGGGAGTGACGTGAAGGATTCATTATCATCCTGATATTTTTAGAAGTTCTTTGGTGACAGGTCAGATTTTTGAGAGTCGGAAAACGATAAAAATAATCTTGTTATTCCACAAAGGAGGCTCTCTATATAGCAGGCCGATTTTGAGCACTGCCTGAGAATGTTGAGAAAATATTTTTAAGTGTTAGTGAAATGAGAGGCTTTGGGGGCAGACCCAGCCTTGCTTTATAGAAGTTTTATCTTGGGAGGCTGAGAGATTTTAGTGATGTGGGCGTCATGAAGAATCAGCAGCAAGTGGATGCATGTTTTTGGTCCTCAGATTTTCAAGAGAAAGCTCCACATGGAAGACTTGCACGAGATAGGTGGAAAATGGAAAGTTGCTTTAGAAGCTCCTGGAGGTGCCTGAGGAGCCCTCCTTGCCACCTCATCCAGCTGACTGCACCCTGCAGATCCTAAGGGATCCTCATCTTTCCTCACCTGTAGGCTGTGGGACTCGGTAGGCTGCTTTGCCAGCTTCCATTTGCAGTTATTGCCAAGTGGTCCCATAGTAATGTGGGGCTTGGGTATCTGGATTTCAGGCAGACATGACCCTCTGTTTATCAGATGTTTGCTGCTTTAAGTACTCAGCCATCTGACTCTCTAAGTTGTTTAGGATTAGTCATAATGTAAGCAGGACAGGGACGATGTATAAATAGTCTATTGCATACCCATTCAAGAAAGTTAGCCTAAGTTTATGTACGCTCCTCACTAAAAAGAGGAAGCCAATGTGTTTATTTAAAACACTGTAGTTCCTTTCTTATTTAGAATATGTGAGTTTAATATGAAAATCAATTCTGTGGCCGGCGCTGTGGCTCAATAGGCTAATCCTCCGCCTTGCAGCGCCGGCACACCGGGTTCTAGTCCCGGTCGGGGTGCCGGATTCTGTCCTGGTTGCCCCTCTTCCAGGCCAGCTCTCTGCTGTGGCCCGGGAGTACAGTGGAGGATGGCCCAAGTGCTTGGGCCCTGCACCCCATGGGGGACCAGGAGAAGCACCTGGCTCCTGCTTTCGGATCGGCACAGTGTGCCGGCCGCAGTGCGCCGGCCGTGGCAGCCATTGGAGGGTGAACCAATGGCAAAGGAAGACCTTTCTCTCTGTCTCTCTCTCTCACTGTCCACTCTGCCTGTCAAAAAAAAAAATCGATTCTTTAAGACTTATATAAGTTGCTCTTTTCTTCATGCTTATTTTGCAAACTTTATTTTTCTTAAATCTTAATTTGAGCCATTAAAATATTCACCTTTTGTCTCTTTTGAATTTTTAAAATTTTATTTACTTGAAAGGCAGACAGAGAAGAGACAGATAGAGACAGAGAGAGCTCTTCCATTTGTTGGTTCACTCCTCAAATGTCTCAATATTTGGGGCTGGGCTTAGCCAAAGCCAGGAACTGGGAACTCAAGCCAGATCTCCCCTATGTGTGTCAGTGACCTGCTACATTATCAGGAAGCTGGATCAGAAGTGGAACTTGGAACTTGAATTCAGGCACTCCAATATGGGATGCAGGCATCCCAAGAAGTATCTTAACCATAGGCCAAACAACTACATACCCTTCTTTTGAACATTTAAAAAAAAATCAATTAAAAACGTTAAGCTCACACATACTGAAAATTTTGTATGCTTATTTCATTGATTTCTATCAATACTATGATTGGATTTTACTGAATTTTAAAAAATGCACTTTATTGTAACCAATGAGAGCTGACTATGAAACTGAAATAATATTAAAATGTTAATATGAGAAACAGGCAGGTGCTTAAAGACAGGTGTCCATATTTCTACAACAAAGCACAGATAATTGAAAGTCTTCCAAGCAGCAGCCTATGTCACTCCTGGCATGCCAGGCAGGTTTGGCACCATGGATGAGTGGCCTCAGGTATTGTATTCCTGGGGAGATGTGAGGATTTCTCAGTGATTTGCTTCCAAATGGCCACCACATCAGTCTACCTGCCACAGGGACCCCATGTTCTTCAACCTGTCAAGTTCTTGGATGTGGGGATTGTCTCATTGGGAGGGAATACATCAGCGCAGTTACTTATCAAGTTATCTCCTAAGTGTGTCTCGGAGAGGAAGGAATAGGAGATGTGCAGAGGCAACATTGTTCTGGTCAAACTTGGGGAACAGCCATGAATCCTGTTTCTGGGAAGCCAGCTTTTGAGGAGAGGAAAGAGGACACTTGAAAGTGGAACCAAGGGGATAGAGCTGTAATGTACTGGGCTAAGCCTCTGCGCCCATCCCATATGGGTGCCGTTTCAAGTCCGGCAGCTCCACTTCTGATCAAGCTCCCTGCTAATGGTCTGGGAAGGCAGTGGAAGGTGTCCCAAGTGCTTGGGCCCCTGCACCCACGAGGGAGACCTGGAAGAAGCTCCTGGCTCCTGGCTTCTGGTTCCTGGCTCCAGATCAGCCCTGCAGTTGGAAGACCTTTCTCTCTGTCTATCCTATCCCTCCCTCTGTCTGTCTATTTTTCAAATAAATAAATAAATCTTAAAAA